ATAGCTGTCATCCTTATTAACATCCCAAGAGAAACAAAACAACTTCGTTTGGGCTATTTGAGAAGGAAAACAAAATCACCCTGCTCATCTAAAATAGAAAACAACTCAAAATCCGAGGAAGGCAAACATTATCCCATTTTGTATCATTTGCAGGAAAGAAATCGTGTGCCAAGAATTCCTTTCTGGTTCCAGAAAAGACGAGAAAAATACTATATCTGAAGTGCGGCTTGCCTTCTAGGTACCAAAATTTGCTAGTTAAGTATCTCTGAATTTCATTTTTTAAGAAGTGGGATAACAGAAGACGATCATTTTCCTGAAAGTGTATAACTAACTTCATCATGAAGATAAACGCGACGTGGTGGGGGAGAGGGAGATTTCCAAGTTATTAGATGTTCTGGACCGTCAGTCTGCAATTGGCAAGCAGTCGGGAAAAAGATCTTTTCCCCTCCCCTCTCCCTTAAACGAGAATCTCAGACCTGTCACTTATTAAGAGCATACTTAGGAGTCGTTTTGAATTGTAAAAGAGACACTTTTCTTACTGTTGTTCGGAGCCAATAAATAATTATTGCATGGCATGTGGGGTCGCCGCAACATTTTGCTGGTTTTGTTTTTCCAGGCAGAAGCCGCATTCGGAAACTTACAAGAGTGGAGGGCAAGTCGTATGCCAGAATTCGCTGAGACCGTTTTTGTAAATGAGCGCTTCTAGCAGAGTTTAAATTACAGTTGGTTTTAAAATGCTAATTCCGAACCCACTTATTTAAATGTTTTTGAAAACGTTCACCCTTCTGATTTAGAAGAAAACAAATCACACCAAAAGACTGCGCAAACCGAGCCTGAAATGAACGAATACTGCTCGAATGTGAACGAACCTATAGTTATGTTTAGAGACGTGGTTAGATAAATTAAAAGCCGATTTCAGTCCCTTCCTTCAAAGAATCCCCTAGGAGAAGGGGACACACTAAGGATGCACCTCAATATCGTCTACCGTTTACCCCCAAAGACTTGTAAATCGCGTCTATTATTTCTGACTGCGAGCGCATCAGTCGAGACCGGACGTGAATCCTGCAACTCGATCCGCACAGGTGGAGAGGCGCGAAGTCTAAACACCAAAGGGCGCTAGGCCACCCAAAGTTAACTTAAGGACTTTTTAGAAAACCGTGGCCCGCCTTTGGTGATCTGCTCTTTGTTCCGATATTCGTTGTTTTATTTCATGATTGTGCTGAGGACTCGGTGGTTAGGAATGGGGAGCCAGCCGTTCGCCCGAAACCTGGAGGCGC